CCTGTTTCACTAACAATCAGTCTTCCCAACAGTTTCCTGGTCACACATACCGCCTTTACTGCAGGTACAGATTTTATGGATTGCTTTTTACATCATATGCTTAATCGACACAATCGAAACAATGAGAGTGGTGGATCTTTATAATGTTTTAATACTTATTTTAACAACGCAGTTCTACACAATGTGTATCTTTACAGGCTACCCCAGGGCTCGACAAATCTCAAGCCACACCTGTCTCCTGCATCCCCTCCCATGTACAAGTCCAGGCAGAGCCATACGATGCAACTTCCCCAAATTCCCCACACAGTCCTATGAGAGTCTACTCCCTGGAGGACACCGCAGGCTCATCTCCCATCACACAGCTACTCCCTCCCTCCTCCCAGAGAGCCCATGGAGCGGAGGATGCGGCCTCCCGCACTGACTGCCTTGTCCCTACTACTCCTGCGGCCAGCCGCAGCGCTGTATGCTGGAGTTTAATACCACCTTCAAAAGTGACGGTGGTGGATTTTCAGTTCCCCTTTTACATGGCAGATAGAATATGTATAGAATTGGGGGGGATTTACGCTTAGTTAGGGTTTGACTTGCCTTCCACTTTAATAGTATGTAAAAAAAAATCCTGTTTTTTTGATTGTTCATTAATCCCTTGGCACCGAGCGTACGCATATTAGCGGCCCCACTGGGCTGAGCTTTTTTCTATGGGGCCGCTAACTTACGTACGTCTTTGTGCTGGGAGCACATCGCACGACATGCTCCCAGTACAAAGACCGGGTTGTCAGTGAGAGCCCTGGGTCCCCTTCTAACGATCGGGACCCGGAACGCCCTATTCCGAGTGACATGATCACTGTGAAAGCCTCTGCTTGGATATCAAAGTGATCAGTCACTATGAAGCCCGCCCCCTTGTTTTCGCTCTCTGAATCGAGGAGAGATACATATTGTCCTTTTCAGAGAGAAAAAAAAAATTTTTTTTAAAAAAAATAAATATATAATTAAAAATAGCTAGATCAAGGTTTGATCTAGGTCAGTGCCAGGGTTAGTGTTTGGGTCAAGGTCATTTTTGTTTTTAAATTAGTATCAGTGTCAGTTACAGGCAGGATATAAAACAAAAAAACAAACTGCGCACTATTGTTTCTGGGCTGTACTACGGGTACAAACAACAATTTAACATATACATATGTGGCATCGCTGCAATCAACAGGAGCAGGAGAAATTATTTTGGGTTGTTCTTTGGTAGTTGGTTACAGTAGTAAGAAATATACTACTGTTTTCCTTTGATAATAAATAAAAAAAAATTCAGAAGATATTGATTACCATTTACCACCAATTAAAAGCCCAATTTGTCCTGAAAAAACAAGGTATAATCCACCTGGATACACACTGTAGTTGTGATGATATGTACAGTTTTGAGAACACATGTCAAATTTGCAAAATTGTGCTTCGGCTTTAAGATTTGTTTTACCCTTAGGCGTAAAGGGGTTAAATGAAATACCACCTGTGCTGTGCTTAAAGTATCAAGGAAATCTTCACTTGATTATTAAACTGTAAGTGAACAGTGCACAGAATACATTTCAAGTTATTGCAGGGTTAAATAAATCACTTGAATGCCGTACAAAGCTGCTGTCACACAATAAGCAGGAATTAATTTTGCATTTTAACTAGTAAACAAGAAACTTTACACTTTCTTGATAATGGGATCTTGGCTTAAAAAAAAATATGCAGGAAAAAGTTCCTGGCTAGTAGTAATGCCTGAAGTTTTTGGCAAGTGAGGCAGTGGTGATGCATGCATTGTCAACACTGAGAAGAGGGGAAATGAAAGGTTAGTGACAGAGTGAAGGGTGGTAAAATTGGATTTCAGTTTTTGTCATATTAAGCTCGAGGCAGCTGGATCTTATCCAGCAGGAAACAGAGAGAAGACTGAAATATGAGCCATGACCTGTAAAGGTGAGCCAAACGAAGGGATGGTAGGTATTTTGATATTAATAATGAGATATGTACAACACAGCCAGGGGAAAAGGAAAAAGCTGATAAAGAAAATGAATTACCAAATGTTTTCCCACAGTAAACAAAAGTTGCAATTCATGTTTGCAAGCGCACACACAATAACATCCTCCCCACTAAAAAAGTGTTTCAGTCACAATGCACTTTCCTCCACAATAAACAGTGGTGTGTACAAAGCAACATACAGCCATTCACTTGTATGGCAGGCTGTACGCAGCACCTGCATCTCCGTGGGCGAAGGAAAGTGCCTCTGGAAGTCCTCATTCACACTGGATGTTTTGAGAACGCTGGTAACGTTAGCTGTGTAAAGTCACATTAAAAACAAGAGTTTTTCAGCTTTTTTTTTTAGCATTTATGCATTAGTGTTTAGCGGCGATTTGCCGTTTTTTCCACATGTTTTTTTACCACAAAACAAATGTTGGGGAGGGTCAAAAAACCGTTTGCGGTGTTTTACTGCATTTTTCAGCGTTCAAGTGTTTTTACAGCTAAAAAACTGCTCTGGGGTTTTATTCCAGCCAAAAAACGCTGATTACAGTCTGTGTGCATGAACACATAGGATAACATGCTGGGGGGCGGGGTTACTAGTTGTAGGAAAAAAAACATCAAAAGCCAAAAACAGCAGCTGTAAAAACGGCCAGTGTGCATGAGGGCTAAGCACTATGTGCACGAACCCTAAGAGACAAAACAAGGGGAAATGTGCAAGTATTATAGAGATAAACTGATAACATTTTGTTTTTATTTTGACCAGATATATGCTTTAACCATTTGCTTACCCCCCATAGCAGATATACTGCTACGCGGCGGCTATGCTGTGCCGAATCACGTATATAAAACATGATTCTGCACTTCCTGGTGGCGGATGCGCTTGCACGACGCTGTTGCGATACTTCTGCTGTGATTGGTCACAGCAGAAGCTGATCAGCGGGTGCCAGTCAATAGATGAGCGCCGCACCCACCAATCATCTAGGACAGGGGTCTCCAAACTTTCTAAACAAAGGGCCAGTATACTGTCCTTCAGACTTTAGGGGGGCCAGACGGTGGCCAGGGGGAATAGAAATTGTCCTGGTCAGCAGAGGAAAAGCACACCGTCATTGGTGTCAGTGGGAGGAATAGTGTCCTATGCTTGGTAATAGTGGAAGCAATGGTGCTCCATCATTGGTGTCAGTGGGAACAATAGTGGCCCATCACTGGTGTCAGTGGGAGGAATAGTGCCCCATCACTGGTGTCAGTGGAAAAAAAATAGTGCCCCATCACTAGTGTCAGTAGAAAAAAATAGTGCCCCATCACTGGTGTCAGTGGAAAAAATAGTGCCCCATCACTGGTGTCAGTGGAAAAAAGAGTGCCCCATCACTGGTGTCAGTGGAAAAAATAGTGCCCCATCACTGGTGTCAGTGGAAAAAAATAGTGCCCCATCACTGGTGTCAGTGGAAAAAAATAGTGCCCCCATCACTAGTGTCAGTGGAAAAAATAGTGCCCCATCACTGGTGTCAGTGGAAATAATAGTGCCCCATCACTGGTGTCAGTGGGAGGAATTGTGTCTCATCATTGAGGTCAGTGGGAGGAATAGTGCCCCATCATTGGTGTCAGTGGGAGGAATAATGTACCATCATTGATGTCAGTGGGAGGAATACTGTCCCATCATTGGTGTCAGTGGGAGGAATAATGTACCATCATTGATGTCAGTGGGAGGAATACTGTCCCATCATTGGTGTCAGTGGGAGGAATAATGTACCATCATTGGTGTCAGTGGGAGGAATAATGTACCATCATTGATGTCAGTGGGAGGAATAATGTACCATCATTGATGTCAGTGGGAGGAATAGTGTCCTATGCTTGGGAGAAATAGTTCCCCATCATTGGTGTCAGTGGGAGGAATAGTACCCCATCGCTGGTGTCAGTGGGAGGAATAGTGCCCCATCGTTGGTGTCAGTGGGAGGAACAGTGCTCCATCATTGGTGCCTTGTTGTTGATGTCAGTAACATGAACTATGCCCCATTGTTGGTGTCAGTGGGAGGAATAGTGCATCTGTGGGAGGAGAAGTGCCCCAAGGACCGAATAAAGGCGAGCAAAGGGCCGCATCTGGCCCCCCGGGCCACAGTTTGGAGACCACTGGTTTAGGAGACTGACAGAACACAGCTCTGCCTATGTAAACAAGGCACACATAGCTGTGTCCTGTCAGCAGCAATGTGCTGGATTCTCTTTCCCTGCAAGGCAGGGAATAGAATCCAGCACATTACCTAGTAGAAACACCTCACACAGTAAACTTTACACATAGCTAGGCACACAGTTAACCCCTTGATCGTCCTAAATGTTTAACCTAGCCTGTGTCATTAGTACAGGCTCAGTGCATATTCTTAGCACTGATCACTGTATTAGGGTCACTGGTTCCCACAAAGTGCTAGTTAGTGTTCAATTGTCCACCGCAATATCGCAGTTCCGCTATAAGTTGCTGATCGCCATCATTACTAGTATAAAAAAATTCCAGTATATATACCATAATTTGTAGATGCTATAACTTTTGTGCAAACCAATCAATAAACAGTTCTTGGGATTTTTTAAAATATGTAGAAGAATACATATTGGCTTAAATTTGTGGACTTTTTTGTTTATAGCACAAAAAATAAAGAACCCAGAGGTCATCAAATACCAACAAAAGAAATCTCTATTTGTGGGGAAAAAAATTACATAAGTTTCATTTATGTACAGCATTGCATGTCTGTGCAATTGTCAGTTAAAATAATGCAGTGCCATATCGCAAAAAATTACCTGGACAGGCAAGGCGGTAAATATTCCAGAGGTCAAGTGATTAACTAGTTGCCAACCGCAGATAGCCGAATGACGGCTGCACTGCGGCCGGCCAGTTCTGGGTGGACGTCATATGACGTCCTCCCAGAACGTGCTCTCCTGCGGACACAGCTGATCACATGATGTGGTAAAAGGCCAATCACAGCATCCTTATACCACGTGATCAGCGGTGTCCAATAACACGCTGATCACAGGGAAATGCAATTGCCGGTTCTCGGCTGCACTTTCCTCACGCTGTCAGATCGTGAGGAAAGTACTGCCGAGAACCGGCAGTTGTCAGAGCGAGGATCAGCACCGATCATCAGGGCACTGATGATCAGTGCCCTGATGATCGGTGCCCAGCAGTGCCACCCACAAGTTCCGCGCCCACCTGTGCCCAGCAGTGCGCCCACTAGCTCTGCCCACCTGTGCCCAGCAGTGCACCCACCTGTGCCCAGCAATGCACCCACCTGTGCCACTCTGCAGTGTCACACACCTGTGCCCAGCAGTGCCACCCACCTGTGCCCAGCAGTGCCACCCACCTGTGCCCAGCAGTGCCACCCACCTGTGCCCAGCAGTGCCACCCACCTGTGCCCACCCACCAGTGCTGCCCAGCAGTGGCACCCACCAGTGCTGCCCAGCAGTGCTGCCAGTCAGTGCCACCAGTCAGTGCCCAGCGGTTGTGCCAGTCAGTGCCGCCAGTCAGTGCCCAGCAGTGATGCCAGTCAGTGCCGTCTATCAGTACCCATCATCAGTGTCGCCTATCAGTGCCGCCTATCCGTGACACCTCATTAGTGCCTCATAATCAGATCTGTTTCCTGTAACATCCATTAAAAATGTACTTCGATGATGCATCAAATGCTTTGTGGTGCATGAAAATGCAAGAAGCACAATCTTTTTTTGCATGCTCCGCAACGTATTACTGCATTAAAAACGTGCACAATTAAACTATGGGGGCCCATTGACACTTAACCCTTATGTTGCAGTGCATTAAGGCACCTGTGTTTACATGCATAATGGCAAGCGTTAACCATTTGCCGCCCGCCCTATGGCCGAATGGCGGGCGGCAAATGTCATCAGCGTTCCGGGTGGACGCCATATGGCGTCCTCCCGCACATGCGCAGATTGCGCTCCTGCAGAGCGGCGTGATCTGTCACCGGCCGTGTACCTCGGACACTGCCGATGACAGATCTGAGTATCGGCCCCGTTGCCGGTACCATGTGACCTGCTGTGACCAATCACAGCAGGTCACATGACAGTTGTATACAATGGATGGCTTCATTCATGCCATCCATTGTATACTACTGCCTAGCTGTGAATGGTCACAGCTAATCACATGCACATCATGTGATTAGCTGTGGCCAAATCACAGCTAAGCACACAAAAAAAAAAAAAAAAAAAAAAAAAAAAAACCCTGAATGAATCGATGTCATTCAGATAAATGCTTGCTTATAGCAAAGTAATTCTTTGCTATAAGCAAATTGTGTAAAAAAAAAAAAAAATACTGATCACTTCCCCAAAGTAGTACAATGTTACTATGGTAACATTGTACTACTTTGGTCATAGTGAAATATGAAAAAAAAAAATCTTAAAAAAAAATAAAATTTAATAAAAAAATAAAATTTAAAAAAATTTAAAAAAAAAAAGATTTTTTTTTTTTCATACTGTCACCAGTCAGTGTCCCTGATCACCGCCATGCCAGTTATATGATGACGCTGTACTGCACTGGTGACAATATGTAAAAAAAAAAAAAAAAAAATAGTGAAACTAATTTTTTAAATTTTTTCATTTTCTGAAAGATTATGACAAAAAAAAAAAAAAAACTTCAAAAAACTCGCCATGCCTCTTATGCAGTACGTCGGACTGTCTACTTTGCAAAAAGGGGTCATTTGGGGGATATCTGTACTATTCTGACATTCTTGGACCTCAAGAAATTAGATTGGCTGTCAGTACTTCAGGATTGATCAATATTCAGATATATCGCATAGTTTGTGAACTCTATAACTTTCCTACAAACTAAAAAATACATCCTAATTTGGGTTATTTTTACCAAAGACATGTAGCAGAATACATCTTGGCCTAAATTTATGAAGAACAATTATTTATTTGCAAACTTTTATAACAGAAACAAAGAAAAACTTTTTTTTTTTCAAAATTTTTGGTCTTTTTTTGTTAATTTAGCAAAAAATAAAAACCCCAGTGGTAATTAAATACCACCAAAAGAAAGCTCTAGTTGTGTGAAGAAAATGATAAAATTTTAGTTTGGGTACAATGTTGTATGACCGCGCAATTGTCATTCAAAGTGTGAGAGCGCTGAAACCTGAAAAATGGCCTGGGCAGGAAGGTGTAAAATTTCCCGGTATTGAATTGGTTAATGTGCATTGCATTAAGGCAGCCCATTGATTATGAGCTGCCTTAACACCTCACTTAATAGGTTAAGTTTACATGCCAACACTCAGAATTGGCTGCATCTACCTTATCTTACTTTAAAGATAAACTAAAGGCAGCACTTTTTTTTTAGCTTTGGACAGAGTTGAGAGGGATTAGAACATCTGTCAATCATTCGTGCTGCCTGTGCCGTTAGGGAGATTCACCCTATTAGTCCTGTTTACCATTATCATTGAAAGTGAATGTAAGAAAATCCCAAATTTTGGGCTGCCCCCAGAAAAGTAATAGAGAGGAAGTCTTCCAATGGGGACACTAGTTCTGGTGACCTGTGGGTCCCCAAGAAATTTCCTTAATCTGCAGGGATTTCCTCTTACTTCCTGTTTGGCTATGGGACAAGAAGTGAAGAGAAATCTCTGCAATGGGACACAGATGGCAAAAAAATAGTCTAACAGGGGTTATAGCCCTATCTTACTCTATCCAAAATACATTCCACATTAAAAACTCTGCTAACAAAATTAGCGTGTGTTGTAAACTGCCTCCACCATTGTTCCTATTTCTTCTTGCTGCAGGCTGCTATTTTCCTGAAGCCCAGAGCAGGATTATATCTATAGGCTGTCAGCAGATCGGCCTCTACAAATTCGGTACAGTAAACCCCTCTCCTTATAACACCCCCCTGTGACAGAATACAGGGTTCTTCTCCCTTGCAACCACTGTTCTTTTGAAATAGTCGTGGCTGTGCGGACTAGTCTCCGCACAGCTGCATCATTCATTCACAGACATCTGTAAAAGAATTAACTACCACCAAAGAAGACCAACTTGTAGTTCTTAATGGAATTCAAGTGTGGTAATCACCATATTCGCAGTCCACTGACCCTTCCTCCAAATCTCCACCTGGAGGAGGAGTCAGCAGGAGACTGGCATTGCACCTACGATCCACTAATCACAGGTGCAATGCTTTTTGTGAAAAAAATGGGATGAATGCACATTTCTCTTTCTGCAAAAATATGTGCATTTATTATTATTTTTTAAAGGTTACCTTTGCCTTTAAAAAAAATAATATTGGTATAATTACCAGTCTTTTAGTTTGTCTCATGCCTATGCCTATCACTTTTGCCGGACATCTTAGGTCCTGTTCACACATAGACATGCATTAAAATGTGCATTTTAACTTGCATTTTTAAGTGTGTTAAATTGTTATGTGTCCTTTTAAGGGACAAAATAATAAAATGCTTTTTCTTCAATAGATTTGCATTGCGCTGATATGCACCTATGTGCATTGCGTTGCTTTAAAATGCATACTTGTAGCATTTGAAACATTGCACTGCGCGGGACACCAGCATTGCGGTGTGAAAAGGCCACATAGAAAACAATTGTTTTCTATATGTTCTTTTGGTGACCTGCATTCTTCTAGTGCAGTAAAACGCAGCCCACTGCAGTATGTGTGAGCAGGCCTTAGTCTGCATGAAAAAGTGATGACAAATACAAAGTGAAATAAAAAAAGGATTCAATATAATAAGGCCAAATATCAGATACACATATATTCATGAAGGCAGTCTTTTAAGAAAGCCCAAAAAAGGGCAGTGGGATATATTTTACACTTCTTGAGATAGCTTCCCTTTACTAAGCGGGAGGAGGAAGCGGGCTGCACAGCCCTGATATCAGTGGAGGATTCTGTCTTCAGTATATGTCATTCTGCAGCCAAGAACTGCAGAGAAGATCCAGAGAAACAGATAAATACACATAACAAATGCACAGTCTGGGATGTCATTTTACTACTTGTTGGATCACTTCCCTGCTGAAAATAATAGTGATATTTATGTGAACTTTTAGCAAAACCATCCTCTGACTTCAATCTAGTTCAACAAAATGTCAGTGAAACCCAAACTCAGTTTCACCTATAAGGATAAAACAAATTGAGCTTTTCTTCAATGACATTTCAGCAAAATGCACTGGAGTCAATTGCAGACCAAGGAGTTGATTTACTAAAACTGGAGAGTGCACAATGTGGTGCAGCTGTGCATGGTAGCCAATCAGCTGCTACTTTCAGCTTGTTCAATTAAGCCTTGACAAAAAAATTTTAGAATATAATTGGTTTCTATGTAGAGCCGCACAAGATTTTGCTCTCTCCGGTTTTAGTAAATCAACTTTCAGGTATGACAAAACCTGTATTTTCCAAACCAACACAATTTTCCTGAAATCCTGCTAAACATCACTATCTGATTCGTTGTCCAATGAACAAGCTGGAGGTGAATTCTGAAGCAGCACTGGAGAACCAAGAAGTAACCACATCACCCGCCTGGATGTACAGCTTGGCAGAGGTGTGCTATTCACAGGGTTGCCTATACAAAAATACAAATTGTTTGGCAGATAATTTCGTAAGCATGCATATTTAGGCATTTTCCTGAAGTGCCCCCTTAACCACTCCTAAGTCCAGACACTTTCACCCTCTCCCAGTCCATGCCAATTTCCAGCTTTTAGCGCAGTCACACTTTGAATGACAATTGCACGGTCATGCACCACTGTACCCAAATTACAATTTTAGCAATTTTTTGAGACAAATAGAACTTTTTTTTGGTGGTTTTTATTTACCACTGGGATTTTTTTTCTTTTGCTATATAAAAAAAATTAAAACATTTTCTTATAAAATTTTGAAAATAAATAATCCTTCATAAATTTTAGCCAAAATGTATTCTGCTACCTTTTTGGTAAAATAAAATAACCCAAATCAGTTTATAGAGAAATATTTGTAATTTTTCAGAGTTTATTTTACATTTTTTTTATATATATATATATACACACACACACACGCACACACACACACACACACACACAGGGTGAAATTGGAAAAATTAGATCATGCAAAAGTTCATTTATCAGTAATGCAACTTAAAACGTGAAACTAATATATGAGATAGACTCATTACATGCAAAGCAAGATAGTTCAAGCCGTGATTTGTCATAATTGTGATGATTATGGCTTACAGCTCATGAAAACCCCAAATCAACAATCTCAGAAAATTAGAATATTGTGAAAAGGTGCAATATTCTAGGCTCAAAGTGTCCAACTCTAATCAGCTAATTAAGCCATAACACCTGCAAAGGGTTCCTGAGCCTTTAAATGGTCTCTCAGTCTGGTTCAGTAGGAATCACAATCATGGGAAAGACTGCTGACCTGACAGTTGTGCAGAAAACAATCACTGACACCCTCCA